GCCACCTGTGCCAGCACAGGTCTGGAGTTCTTCCCGTGGTGTCCTTCATGGCCCACGTAGGAAGGGTGGGGTGCAGGTGGAAGTTGAGAGTCTCCTCTATCTTGCCGGCCTGCAGGGGGCAGGCAGGGAGGGCCTGGGAGGGACAAGGACCTGCCCTCCCCCAGTGCTGATCCCAGGGCTGTGAGATCTGGTCCGTATATGCACGTGTCTGAGGGCCGTGTCCCCACGCCACCCGTGGCTCCCGCCAGGCTCAACCTGCTCAAGAAGCCGTGACCCCCTCTGTGGGTCATGGGAAAGTGGGGGTCACTGCCCACCCACCCACCTGACCACAGATGTGAGGACTGCAACACGTCTCGCCGGGTCCCATCCGGATAGCCTGGAGCAGTGGAGATCTGCCCTTGCCAGTCGTGTGGCCGGGCCTGGCCCCTTGCTCCCATGTGCCCTTAGTTATTCATTCAACAAACACCATGGCACCTGTTTCACGAGAAGCTCCATCCCAGCCTCGGGTCTGTCGGCAGGCTCGACAGGCCGAGACCCTCTGGAGGGGCAGACAGCGGGGAGGGGGGTGAAGGTGGTAGGTGAGTGAACCATCGTGTGTTGGAAGCTGGTAACTGCTGTTGAAAACGACAGAAGGAGCGCAGAGCTGGCTCCCAGCAAGCTCTGTGATGCACAGGTACTCAGGGTCCCTTGCTCTGAGAAGATCATGTCTGAGCTGAGCTCTTGGAGGCTGGGCATGAACTGGGCACCGTGGGAAGAGGGCCCCTGCCCAGGGAGAGACTCTGAGCAAGGCAGGCCAGGACAGGAGGACTTGGGGCCCAGGGAGCTTCTGGGCCAGGCGGCTGGAGCAGAGACAGGCCCATCTGAGAAGGGGTGTCTCAGGAGCACGGCAGGAGGTGGTGGGCGTGGGCAGGTGGCCCATCTGTGGAAAGTGGAGCCCCGAGGGTATGTGATGGTGGAAATGGGCCATGCCTGGGGGTTCTGGGGCCCTGGTCAGTTGAGGCGGGAGTGGCTGCTGGGGTGAGTGGTGGGAGGAGTCAGTGCCTGTCCCATGCAGGACTGAGTAGACACCCAGCAGGAAAGGTGCAGGGGTAGGGTCCCAGGTGGAGCGGGTGGTGCCAGGTGTGTGGCACAGGCCAGAGGGGCCTGAAGGGCTGGAAGGACAGGCTGGGCCCTGGGACATGAGTCTGGGCTGAAAGCCTGGGAGGCTGTGAAGGAAGGTGGGCCGGTGGGGCCAAGGAGGGCTGAGGCCAGGTGCGTGGGGCAGGTGCATGGAGGCCAGGTGCGTGGGGCAGGTGCATGGAGGCCAGGAGCGCAGGGCTGCAGCATGTGCACTGGGGCCGGCCCCTCCTCAGTGCCAGTGTGTCTGTGGAGTGGATGCTGGTGGGCGCGGCGAGGACTAGTCCTTGGCCAGAGGATGGGTTCGTGCGGCCACGTGCCATGGGCTCTGGAGGTGTTGGCTGGGACAGCAGCCCAAGGAAGAGGCCAGGGCACAGGGCCTTGGTAACCGGGACCCCCTCGTGGGGGTCCGCTGGTGGAGTGCTGAGCAACCGAGGCAGGATTGAAGAGCGGGAAGGGTGAGGAGGGGCCTGGCATGCCCCTGGGCAGCATCCCAGGGCCTGACCGGGTGTCCTGAGTCAGGTGTGGGGTCAAGGAGCGGTGGGGGTGGCAGCTCATATGGCCGGGGAGCAATGAGGAGGGGCCGGGCCTGGCAGCCCTGAGACCCCCGGAGTGAGCAGCTGGAACGGGGGGTGCCAGGGGAGCTGGGTTTCCTCAGAGCAAGGCGGGGAGGAGGGGGCCTGTGAGCAGCGTCTTAGGGTGCTGACCTCCACAGGCCAGCCTCCCAGCAGAGCCTCAACCCCAGAGGCCAGAGGGGAGAGGCAGCAGGGTTGCGGCTGGCCTCCTCCCTCACTAGCCCTGAAGCTCCTGCCCCAGCCTTGCCGTGCGGCCCCGCCAGCCTGTGGCTCTCGGGGTGCTCGGTCTGGACCCCAACACGTCCTTCCCTGAGCTTGGGGCCCCCTTGGCCTGTGTCTCCTGTGGCAGTCCCTTTGGCTGCCGGTGTGAACCGACACCCCGTCTGGACCACACCTGCCAGCAGGTGATCTGGGCACGCTTCTCTGCGTTGTCACCCTCGTCTCTGATCACTGATTAGGTGGCCGGTGGTGAAACCTCTCTGCGGCCTGTTGGGCAGTGGCTGTGCCTGATCACGGGGGTGGGGTGGGTGAGGGAGGGAGGGGAGAACAGGTGGGCAGGCAGTAGGGCGCACGGAAGCCCCCTGGCTGGGGGAATGCCGAGCACCAGGCGGAGGACACCCCCGTCCCCGAGGGTCTCTGCCCCCACCTCACCCTGCCTGCTGGACACCGACTCCTTCTCCACATGGGCAGCTTCAACAGTGTGGACGGGGCAGGCAGGCACTCAGTGATCGGCCAGTTGGGCCTCAGTTTCCCTGGGTGGGTCATCATGGCCAGAGGGAAGGGCAGGAGTGACGAGGGTGTGTGTAGAGGGGTGACCCGGTCTGCCCTCGCTCTGCTGGCCGGTTCTCCCACGACGCCATGGTCTGCCCCGTGGCTCTTGGCCCACCTCTGACCCAGCCTCCCTGGGGACACCACATTCCCCATCTTCCACTCCTGGCCGGCTGAGGCCTTACTTTCTGGAAGAGCCGTGTCTCGTGGCGTCCCGGCCCCAGCGCAGGGCTGTCCGCGGTGCCGGACCCTCCGTGTGGGGACTGGGGGCTGCCGGGATGGGAGGGCGTCTCTTCTCAGGAGGGTTGGTGCCGTGTCCCGGGAGGACGTCCTGTGTCTCTCTGGTTCCCTTGCCTTCCAAACGGTACATTGAGGCCGGGCGGGGCCACGCAGAGCCAGACCGGTTACGTGTCGGCCGGGAAGAGCCGTGTGCTCTGTGCAGTGACGTGGGATTGTTTGGATGTTTGGAAAAGCGCCCACGACGGTGCTTGTGGGCATGTTAACCACGCGCAGCACGCGTTTAAATATTGCGTCGTTTCACCCGAGCCGGGCGTCCCGCCGCCTCTGACACGTGGCTTCAGCGTGCACGACTGATCCCCGGGTAGAGCAGATGGTCTGAGAGGACAGAAAGCACTGCCCTGGTCACCGGGACACGGCACAGGCCCCTGGGACGGCCATGCTGAACCCCGCCCCGTGCCTGCTGAGAGGCTGGCACAGACGCCGCAGAAGCAGGTCCTCCCAGCCCTGCACCTGCTTCAGGCGAGGAGTGCCCCAGCAAGGAGACAGCAGTGGGGTTAGAGGGTCACAGGAGGGTGGCCGGGTCACACGGGGGTGACGGGCTCAGCGTGGGTATAGGACTCGGGCGGCTCCCCGGGCCCTCACTGGGACGGCGGTTTTCCGACTGCGCGGTGTGGAGGGGGCGCTGTCCTGGTGGTATGTTCGCGCGTCCTTTGAGACGTGAGCTCGGCAGGCGGACGTGAGCCTGCTGTCCCCGGTGTGCCAGCGAGTTCACCCGTGTTTGGGGGGAGGACGGTTCTGTGCGAGGCCCTGGGGATTCGTGTCCCTGTCACCTTCTTGAACAGCTCTGTTGTCTGCGACCGCAGCCCCATGTGTCCCTCCTGAGGAACATGTCACACTCACCAGTCCTCTGTGCCGCAGTCTGTCCCCACTGCGCCCCACACCATCCTAGAGGCTGCAGCCCGCCCGCCCGGTCTGCGTCCCCGACTGCTCCCCGCCCCCAGCCTCTGGCAGCACCAGGTGCTGCAGATTCTCCGTCCACGCGGCCTTGTGGCCTGCCTTCCCTTGTCCTGCCGCTTGTCCCGGGACCGCTGCCCGCCCGCCTCCGTGTTTGTTTCATCCCACGTAATCGTGTGCAAGTCGCAGCGCCTGGTGGAGAGCGGCAGTGATCCCCAGACCCTGCAGGAAGTGCGTGCGTCCCGTCTAGCCTCTTCACAGAGACTGAGCGCAGCGGCTTTGGGCAGCTCCTCGGGGAGGTGGGCCCGGGCCCCAGATCTGTGCCGTGGTCCTGCCAGCCGCGGGCCCAAGCGCGGTGGGACAGACCAGCAGAGGAGGCTGAGTGGGGAGGTGGGGTCTGATACTCCCCGGGTCTGCCGCGACTTGCGGTGTGGCCATCATGGGCCCCCGGGCGGTCAGGACTGGCCTCGAGTTAAGGCCGCTGGAAGCAGACATTCTGCAAGGCCCCCTTCCTGGTCTGGCAGATGCGAGCCTCTGAGTCTGGGCTGTGGCTGGCGCCCCAGGCGGGTCTTTCTCGCTGGCCCCTTCCTCGATTCCCATCCTTTGAAGGGGGTGGGAGCCCGGGGGTGTGGGCCGAGCAGGGCGCTCTGGACGCTGCGTTCCCTGGACGGTCACTCATCTTGAGTGCTCGCTTCGTGCTCACGTATGACCCGGTCCTTTCTTCCTTTTGCTTCTAATCTGCTTCCCTTCGCTGCCGGGTTCGGGAGCATCTGCTCTCTCCTGGCATCGTGTTTTCTCAGATGGTGTCCTGGGGCGGCTGTCACGCACAGCCCAACCCAGCGGCCTGAGCAGCAGAGGTTTGTCCCTCCCAGGCCCTGGAGGCTGGACCCGCGGGTCCTGGAGTGTGGGGGCCGGCTGTCCCGAGGCCTTGCCTGGGCGTAGACGCCGTCTCCTCCCTGGGTCCTCACAGGCTCGTGCCTGCATGCACGTCTGTGTCCTGGTCTCTTCGCCTTAGGAGGACGCCAGCCACACGGCCCTCCCCAGTGATCTCGTTTTAACATAATTACCTCTTGAAAGACCTTATGTCCAAATGCAGCTACACCCTGGGGTGCTGGGGGGCAGGCTTGCATGTGAATTTGGGGGACGCTGCCTGCATGCTGTTCTGCTCTATGACCGCAGGAAGTCAGCCGTGCACGGTGGGTCCGGCCAGCACCCCAGCCACCCTGGGCAGCGTGGTCGTGCCGCGGGCTGGTCGTCGGAGGGTGTAGGAGCCTCTGCCGAGCTAGCGTCCCACGCACATGGTGCTCTGTGTTCTCTCCCTTCCAGCTTGGTGCCAATGCCCTGCTCTTCCTCAGTGTGAACATGTACGGGGTGTTTGTGAGGGTCCTGGCCGAACGCTGCCAAAGGAAAGCCTTCCTGCAGGCCCGGAACTGCATCGAAGACCGGCTGAGGCTGGAGGACGAGAACGAGAAGCAGGTTGGTGTGGTGGGGCTGTCGGCTGCAGGGACGCGGGGCAGTGGGGGTATGCAGGGTGGTGGGGAGCACAGGGCGGGAAGCAGGGGGCGGGGGAAGGGGGCATGGGGTGGGGAGCACGGAGTTGGGCGGGGGGCGTGGAGGAGGGAGTGCGGGCCTAGGGTGCAGGGCAGGGAGCACAGGGTGGGGAGCAGAGAACACAGGGTGAGGATGGTTGGGGCATCAAGCCCAGGTTGGCCCCCCCAGAGGGGACAGGGCAGCGGCAGTGGGGGCTCCCTAGACCTGCAGATGGAGGATCTGCCACCCTGTGTGACCCCCAGCCTCAGTTTCCCCGTTGGTGAGACAGGTGCGCCCAGATGATGCTGTAGGGCTGGGAGGAATCAGGGAGAGCTGCAGAGCTCACCCTTGGAGGGGGCTGAGCTGCTTGAAAGCACGGAGTGGGGGGTGTTTTGCTTGGGGGGAACGGTGTTGGGGTGGGATTCCGCTGGAATCAGTTTCCGTGGAGCTGGGGGGC